AAAGGAGTTGGGGAGGGTCTCGAGGGAATGGGAGGGAGGTAAACACAGAAGAAGGCAGGAGGGAAGCAAAATAACAATAAGGATATCTGAAAAGTCTTTACCCCTCATCAAGAAAACTTCTCTTTGCTTTGTTTGTTCATTTTGTTTTTGTTTTTAGAGACAGGGTTTCTCTTGTGTAACAGCCCTGGCTGTCCTGGAACTCACTTTGTAGACCAGGCTGGTTTTAAACTCACAGAGATGGTCCTTCTTCTGCCTCCTGAGTGCTGGGAATAAAGATATATGCCACCACAAACCACCTGAAAACTTCTCTTTGCAATAAATGGAGACCATTACAGAAAAGCACAACCAACCAAAATGTAGAATCATTGAGCCAAGTCCCAATAGATATACCTACAAAACACAGCCACACCCAATGCTCAGAGAACATTGGAGAAGAGAGCACAGGAAGATCGTAAGGGTCAGATGATTAGGAAGTTGATTATGGCATTGTGTCTCCCAGGAATATCAGAAGCTACGCCCATAAGAGCCTCACAAACATGACCACCTGTCTTGGTTATCGTTCTGTTGCTGTGAAGAGACACCATGGCCGAGGCAACTCTTTTTTTTTTTAATTTATTTAACTTTATTTTATGTTCATTGGTGTGAGGATGCCAGATCCCCTGGAAATGGAGTTACAGTTGTGGACTGCCATGTGGGTGCTGGGAATTGAACCTGGGTCCTCTGGAAGAGCAGCCAGTGTTCTTAACCACTGAGCCATTGTTAAAATTTTTGAAGAAAAAGAGGAGGCACAAGATGAGACATATTAACCAGTTTATTATTAGGCCCAGCAGAGTAGGGAGACTAAGAGAGAAGAGAAACAGAGTTAATGGCTGACCACTATGGCCAGTTGCCATAGAGAGAGAAGAGAAGCAGAAGCAAACAGAGAACAAAGAAGAAGCAGAGAGAGAGAGTGAAGCAGGGAAGTTCCCTTTTAAAGGGAAGACTGCGCGTGCGCACTGAGGTTCCACGCATGCCCAGAGTCCTCATGAAGGCTGTAAATGCGTGGTGGGTGATGTGGTGATGGCACGCCCCTGTGCATGCCCTGACTGTTGTCAGGGGGTGGGGTCTGTCTCTTAAAGACATAGAGCGCATCAGCATTAAAGCCTGAACCTTTCAGCCATCTCTCCAGCCCCGCAAGGCAATCTTTTTGTTTGTTTGTTTTTCCAGAAAAGGTTTCTCTGTGTAGCTTTGGAGCCTGTTCTGGCACTCCTGTAGACCTGACTGGCCTCGAACGCACAGAGATCCAACTGCCTCTGCCTCCTGAGTGCTGGGATTAAAGGCGTGCGCCACCACTGTCTAGCAACTCTTTTTTTTTTTTTTTTTTTTTTTTTTTTTTTTTTTTTGTTTTTTTACTCTGTAGGTTTTGGAGACTGTCCTGGAACTCTCTTTGAAGACCAGGCTTGGATTAAAGGCGTGCACCACCACCGCCTGGCTAAGGCAACTCTTATGAAAGGAAGCATTTGATTGGACACTTGCTTACAGTTTCAGAAAGTCAGTCCGCTATCATCATGACAAGCAGCAGCCAGGTATAGTGATGGAGAAATAGATGAGAACTTTACATCTTGATCCACAGGCAGCAGGCAGAGAGAGCAACATTGGGCCTGGCATGAGCTTTTGAAACTTCAAAGCCCACCCCCAGTGACACACTTCCTCCAACAAGGTCATACCTACTTGTAAGGAGCCTTGTAACCAGGCAGGCAAAGTCCTGGCTGAAGAAAGATTAAAAGAAAGAAAGGGAGCATAGGCCCACTACTCGGGCGGCTGTTGGAGATAAGAGTGAGAATGTGTGGAGTGTGGCAACGTGTGATTAGCATGATTAGGAAACTATTTAAGGACCAGCTCAGAACTGGGAACTTTAGAGTATACCACGACTCTATGTCCTGGAGCTCTCCTCCGTTAACCTAAAACAACCAGTCCATCAAGCTGAGTGCCGCTCGGTTCTGAACTGGATTGGGGCCCTCAGGAGACTCAATGGCCTGTATCCAGAGGAACAAGCCTGAACCTACAGGCTGCTGCAGGAGTTACCCCCTGCTGTGAGCCTATTGTCTGTGGTTCTTAGGATTGTTTGCTTATGCTTGTGTGTTACTTTGACATAAGTGTGAAGTAAAACTTATATACTCAAAACCAACTCACTGAGTTTGTCATTCCTCCCAGGTTAAAACCTGGGAAGGGCTCCAGACACTACTCCATTCCAAAAGAGAGAAAGGGGACCATAGTGAGGAAACACTAGACCAAAACAGGACCAAAACCCAGCAGGACAAACTCCAAATTCGGCTTCTCCATTTCCAATGTCAAAGCTCTCCAGAATTTCAACTCCTTCCAGCATTTTTGTTTACTACAACTCTCTCTGTCTCTGTCTGTCTCTGTCTCTCCCCCCTCCCCCCTCTTTCCCCCCCCACGCCCCCAGGCTGGTTCCATACCCAGCCTGCAGTTCTCCTTAACAGGCATCTTCCAGTTCTGGCATCTTCTCTTGGGGTCTCCAACTCAATCCAGGCTTAGAATTCACAGTTTCAAACAATGGCTTCTCCAAGCCTGCATTTGGGGAATGTCTTGCCAAATACCTGACCTCAGCCGCTTTCCTTCACCATGGAGGAAGAGTCTATAACCCCTTTCCTGTATCTTTCTTAATAAAACCAGAACCACCTGGTTGAAGCTGCCAAGTTCTTCTGCTTGCTGGGGCTGGAACCTGGGCTCCTCCCTGACTTCATTTGCATAAGCTTTCTATTGTTGTTTATTTCCTTTGCTGCTTAGGCTTTCCTTTAGTTCCTTTTCACAAGTTGGAAGCACAGCTGGGCGGGGTCTTGCCCTGGGGTCACCACTCCCTTTGTTCCAGTTAGCATTAGGTTTTTCTTTAAACTTTTTATGTCCTTGAGCATAGGACCTGGTTCCAACACTTCTAAGTGCTCTTTGTTGATGTCTTTATTTTGTTTTGTTTTGGACAGCATCTCACTATGTAGCCCTGGCTGTCCTGGAACTCACTATGTAGACCAGGCTAGCCTCAAACTCACAGAGATTTGCCGGCCTGACTCCCCAGTGCTGGGATTAAAGGCATCAAGCCTGGACTGTTATGTTTTGGTTTTGTCTTTTTTGAGACAGGGTCTCACTATTCCTGGTGCACCTTCTATCCTTAAACTGTACACTTAGTATCTCTTTTTGCCCTTCTTGTTCATTTTCATTGTAGATCTGCATAAGAGTGATCACTATTAACCACTTGACACAGTCAATACTAGGCTGTCTTGAAGTCTCCTCTGCCAAAGCCATTCATCCAAAACTCTTCAATTTTTGCTTCAGGCAGATTTTTTAGGACTAGGGCAAAAAGCGACCACATTCTTTGCCAGAATATCACAAGAATGGTCTCCAAGCGAGTCAGAATATTCTTCCCCTCTGAAATCTCTTGAGCTGGTCCCTCACATTCCACATTGCTCTCAGCACCACTGTCTTCCATGCTTATCCTAGGATGTCCCATTAAGTCACACTTAAAGCAGCCAACAACTTTTCTAGTCCAAAGTCTCAAAGTCTTCTGTATTCCTCCAAATAATAGCATGGTCAGGCCTGTCACGGCAATACCCCCACTTCTGATGCCATCTTCTGTTTCGGTTACTGTTGTATTGCTGTGAAGAGACACCATGACCAAGGCAACTCTTTTTTTTTTTTTTTTGGTTTTTCGAGGCAGGGTTTCTCTGTGGCTTTGGAGGCTGTCCTGGAACTAGCTAGCTCTTGTAGACCAGTGACACACTTCCTCCCACAGAGCCATACCCACTCCAACAGGATCAAACCTCCTAATCCTTCTCAAACAATACACCATATGGGGAATAAGCAAATAAATATATGAGACTGTGGAGCCAATATCATTCAAACTACTATGCCACCCAAATATGAGCTTAATAAGGATGACATCAATGAAAATGCCAAACTGGATGGAGAAAAGTCCATGAAGTCTCAACCTTACACAAAAACTATAAGTGACTGTGGAGGGCTGGGAATGGGAGAGGTGGCCTTACCCAGGGAAGAGCACACCAGTTGGCTGTCCATTGCCAAATAGTCATCTCTGAAAATATACATACAGGTAATATTATATAGACTAAATAGGCTATATTTAGGAATATATATGCGTGTATATACATACATATATATATATATATATATGCATGTGATAACAATTAATAAAAAAATAGGCCATAAATTTTAAGAAGCACAGGAAGGGGTATATGGGAGTGTTGGAGGGAGGAAAGGGAAGGGAGAAATGATGTAATCAACTTATAATCTCAAAAATAATAAAAGGAAAAATTATGAGGGCTAGTAAAGTTATGCCATTAAATATGTATATCAGCCAGGGAAACAGAAATTTGAGAAACAATTTATAAAATAGGATTAGAACATAGAAACCCTTTTTAAAAGGAGAACTACACATACATATACCTCATGCATATCCACAGCAAAATCATCGAAGAATCAAATACTAAAATAGACTAGGAATGGTATTCTCTGTTGGGTGGCTCTTCCTACCCTTCACTAATTTGCAATTAGAATAAAATTATGTTAATCTACCTATGCTTTTCATTCTTCCTTTTTAAGAGTACAGCATGCATTTTGGGGGACAAGCTATTAACAGAAAAAAACAAAGAAACAAGTACATTGGCATGGAACTCGAGACCATGGAGCAATAACTGGTGGTCTCTGGGAGGGGAATGTGGGTATCTATATCTTCTAGATGGATGATGAAGGTGGAGGAGGAAGGAAAGGAAGAAAGAGATATAAGCATTCAAGGAATGATCTTCAAATAATTTCATTTGGGGAAAGAAAGATGATGTGGAATGTTCTTCTGTGTGTATGTTTGTCTTATTGGTTGATGAATAAAGCACTGTTGACCAATAGTGAAGCAAGATAGGTGGGACTAGGAGACAAGGAGGATTCTGGGAAGTGTAGGCAGAGAGGAGCTGTCATGGGATCTCAGGAAGTGACGTAGTAGGACAGACTCAGAATATAAACAGGGACAAACAGGAAATCGTGCTCTTCTCTCTTCTCTTCTCTGCAGAGATGCTGAGCCAGGTGCCATCATGTAGCAGGCAAAGGAGTTGCAGTTTTGGTAAGCCAAGACCATGTGGAAATAGATGAATTAGTAGTTATGGGTATAATCAAGTCAGAGCTAGCCAATAAGAAACCATAGCTAGTGGCCAACGTTTTCATAATTAATATAGCGTCTGTGTGATCATTTGGGGCTGAAGCAGCGGTGGGGCCTAGCCGGGCCAGAAAACTCACGTTACAGAAAGACACAGCTAAAAGTGTCCTATTTTTTTCAAAAGCAAAAATTAGGTGGCTAAGCCAGGCAGTGGTGTCACACACCTTTGATCCCAGCACTGAGGAGGCAGAGGCAGGTGGATCTTTGTGAGTTTAAGGCCAGCCTGATCGACAAAGCAAGTTCCAGGACAGCCAGGGCTACACAGAGAAACCCTGTCTCAAAAAATTAAAAAACAAACAGACAGACAGACAAAAAAATTAGTTTGCTGAAACAATATAAATTTTCTCCCTTATAATTCAGGGTGCCAGAGCTCTGAAGAGAGGTCTTACAAGCAAAAGAAAATCCAATGTTGATACATGCATTCTCTCTCGAGGTTCTGGGGTGGGATCTGGGCCTTCTCATTCCAGGTCCAGGGCCACCTGTATTCCTTCAGCAACGCACTGTTGACATCCCTGCTCCTGCTGTCACACCTCCTCAGATTCTGACTCTTTGCCTCCAGTAATAAGAACCCTCTCAATGACACTGCCCCCATGGGGAGATAACATCTCCCCGAACTGGGAGAGATGATCCCACGCCTCACCATGGGTGTGAGAGAGCTGGTCCCCAATGGTGTGAGCCTAGGAGAGCTGGCTCTGACCCTCATCTGAGGGGGTGGTCCCAGTGACCCTGACCTGCCAATTCAGCTACAGTCCAGATCTACATTCTATCCTACCTCTGACCTGCTGGAGTGCATGAAGGGAATGGCCCTGTGGAACAATGACCACAGGATCTCCATGACATCCAAGAGGAGTTTTAGAGAGGATCCAGTGATGACGGTGTGCCAGGGGACTTGAACTCATTGCAGTGAACATTTTACGGGTGGGGCTGATTGGACACAAGGGAGCTTCGTGACACACTGCAGCTCCCCATGCCAGGATGAATAAAGAAGTGTTGGAAAGATGGCGGAGTGAGATGATTTTTTTTTGTTTTGTTTTGTTTTTAATTAATTTCTGGAGGGGGCATGCTGCAGGGGTGAGGGGAGGTTATGGAGGGACAGGGAGGTGAGTGGAATTAGGGTGCATGATATGACCCCAAAATCAATAAAGACTTATTAAAAAAAAAAAACCCTTGTGATTATACTGTGTCTACTAGATAATCTAGGATCGTCTCTCCACACCACTGTCTTTAATTCAATTGCATCTGAAAGTCCCTTTTGCCATGTAACATACTGCTGTATTCATAGGTTCTGAGCCATCACTCAGCTCAGCTCTGAAGGAAACCAGGATGTTTGATTCTACTATCCCTCATGTGCACAATAAACAAAACCTCACCGCGTCTTCCAGCAGTCCTGTGGAATATATGCCAGATTGCTTTTACAGTGGAAGATGCCCAGGCTTGGTGCAATTTGAGATTCTGCCCCCTATCAGAGAGCTGATATCAAACCCAGGTCTAAAGCCTGGACCCCAGCCAGAGCCTGCCTGCCTCACTGCCTTGTCTCCATTCTTCCCTCTATTCTGTTGCATTTCCTCTTTCCTGTCTAGACCTGTCTCCCTGAACAGCTTCAGCTGCTGTTCCCTAACTTGCCCTGTGCTTCTGATGACAATGTGACCACAGCTTGGGCTTGGAGATTGCTTTCCTTCTGACTCTCCCCCCACAGAGCCTTTTCTTTTCCCACTTCAACGGGCACATTTGGGGCCTATTGTTCTAGTGAAAAAGTAGAGGGAAGACAGACATAAGTGAAAATTACAGGACAAGCTAAACGATACATGCTGTATGAGACGAATGGGGAAATCAGACTGAGCAGGAAGTTCCAAATCCTGGAAAGCAGGTGTCATTTTCTTTCTCACTTGGTTAAAAAGTCTAAACTTCAAGAAAGAACCGAAGGCAATAACCTGAGTTATTAATCTTTGTTTCCCTATCCCTTACATGTAATTGTACAACAGTTGGGTAGAAAGAAGCTGACTGATTGGAGCAAGCAGTGTCTGAATCCAACAAGGGGTTAAATTTTATTGCTTTCAATTTGTAGGTATCTATACTACCTAGCAACTGATGATACAAGATATCTTTCCAGTTCTTATTGGAGAAGGCCTTTTGTATATTCAATTACCAAATTTCCGGTAAGCTTGGCAAAGTGCAAGTCCAGCCTGAGGTAAAAGGGTCTAAAAAGAAAAGGACTTTAGTTGGGGTGTTGATGATGCTCCTGTTACCTCTGCTCACAGTACTCTTGGTGCAGCACAGCCATGCCCGTAAGTATCCCAAGCTCTTTTACTCCCAAATCCAAAACTGAAGTACAATGGCTAATTCCTGAATTGTGCACTCTACAAAAGGTCAGGAGCAAATCAGCAGATCCATTATACCCAAGACTTGAAGGGTGATGGACTAGCTGACCTGTTGTTCAGGTGTGTGTGTATGCTCATATGCAGGTGTGTGTGTGTGTGTGTGTGTGTGTGTGTGTGTGTGTGTGTGTGTGTGTGCGCGCGCGAGCGCGTGTATGCACTCGAGAGCGTTCATGCGTATGTGTACAGGCTGTTCTGGAAAACTCAGTAACTTCCTTACTTTCCCTCTGAGAGCTGCCTCCTTACTTTTCTACTATACCCTTCTTTTCCTTGTTTCTCCTCTTTTCTAGCAGTGAATCTCATAGGTCTGTGGTGAGTGCAATGGGTCTGTTGTTCAGGTTAATAGATATTTTTCTTCCTCCTCCAAGGACTACCTGTGACAAAAGATCCAAGAAAGATAAAGCCGTGGCACTGAGCTTGTTTGCTGGGCATAAGAAATATTCATTAAAAAACAAAAAACAAAAAAAAAAAACAAAAAAAACCCAAAAACTTCTAGGACTGGAGAGATGGTTTGTGGTTCAGAGTACTGGCTGCTCTTCCAGAGGACCCAGGTTCAATTCCCAGCTCCCACATGGCAGCAGCTCACAAGTGTCTGTAACTCTAGCTCCAGGGGATCCAATACCCTCATACAGACATACATGTAGGGAAAATGTGCATAAAAATAAATAAAAATTAAAATAAAAAAACAGAAACAAACAAGACCCCAAAAGTTCTTCACAGTTTAAGGAGCTTGTGTTGCCAGCAGTTGCCTGTTTTTCCTACCTAAGCATCTGCTTTCTGGCTGGTACTGGTGCTTCTAAAAGTTCGGAGGAGAGTTCCAGAACTCAGACCAGACGACCTCAGCTGCTGGCTGCTGTGCATTCCAGAAAGGAGCTCTTTCAAATCATCTACGCATTAGCTCTACAAACAGTGATTGATAGCTTGGCATGTGCCAGATGAGCTAAGGAATACAAAAGCTGGATGTGGTGATGCACACTTGCAATCCTAGCTACTCTAGAGGCTTGGGGGAGGGAAATGGTGAGTTTGAGGCCAGTTTGGGCAGCATAATGAGGCCCTGCCTAAAAGAAAGAAAGGAAGAGAGGGGGTGGGGAGAACAATAAAGACGAGGTTAGAATTTTCTCTGGCTTAAGGATATTGGCAGAGCTCACATAGCAATCAAGGTCTTCCACCTTCAGTCCAGGCCTTTTCTGTGATACCACAGGACTTCTGAGTATTCGGTAGGAAATTATAAGATAGGGTGTCACTCCGTGCTGTCACTGTTTGTCTCTTGACTCCTTGGGTGACTTTCCACCCCTTTGCTTGCTTACATTCTGGAAGCTGATTGCTACAGACTACAGCACTGTCATTTTACAGATTAGTTTCTGTGTTGGCTCACTTGGTAGGAGACACTAAAGAAGAGTGTCCAGAACACAGAGCAAAGAGACTGGAGTGTGCCTTGCTGGGCCCTTCCCTTCTTTCTGAGTCTCTGGCAGTAGCTATAACTCTCTGCAATGTAGATTGGTTTTGTTTTCCTTTTCCTGAAAATCCTTCTTCTTTACAGTTTTATGGGCTTCAGTTACTCTTATTTGCTGTTCATTTCCCTTCAATCTTAGGGGTGAAATGTTTTTTTATAGTTGCTTCATTACTGTCTCTCCATGGGACCTATCTGGTGAAGGCTGTTTCCTGCTGTGACTCTCACTAAATGAGTTTTGAGGACAATGACGGGGAAGGGCTTTCAGATTTGTGGAAAATGGCTTAAGGTCTACTTGGTATTTGCGCCCAGTGTTACCCATAAATAGATACTTTCATGCCATAGATGGATGGAGAACGTGGGGAAGAAAAACCAGAGTGTTTGAGACATAACTCTCAGAAATGTTAAGATAATTCCCTTCTTACTTCCAACATGTCTCTCTCTTAAGCTGCATAACCCACAAGGGATCGCTCACTCCCGCTCCTTCCTTGTGCTCTCATAGCTCCTGTTCTCAGTCCTCTAGCTCTCTTTCCCCAAAATCTTCCCTGAACTGCTCCCCTTGAAGGCAGGAAGAGACAGCTCCATTTTCCTTTTGTTTCTGTGACCCTATCAAGTTCCCAACAGGCACTTAAGAGCTTCCTGCAAGGCCTCATATTTCAAAGTCACACTCCTAAGGCATTGAAATCACCTGCCTGAGTTACACTGAGCTTGGACAATGATAATGAGTTTGAGTTTAAAACCTCGGTCTGCTGTAGTGGCAGGATTTATGTAAAAGTGAGTGTTGTGCGCTTTTACAACCCTTCTTGCTCTTCACTTCAGCTGGTGTGAAATTGAACTGATGATGTGTGTCGCTGTAATCAAACTGGGGACATCGTGCACGAGATTTCCATTGTATAGCCATATATAGTATGTGTGTTTCATCTTAATATAGTCACAGTGAGTCTCTTGGTGTTATTAATAATTTAATAGATGTGTCAGTCTGCTACAGCAATCTACTTTATGACTGATGCTTCAGAGATAAGGACTGGTCACAGATAAGCCAGTTGTGCTAGTGTTAGAAGATATGCTTGTAGACTATCTGCTTAGAAATAATCTTGAGTTCAAAGAGTTAACATGAGAAAATATAGACATTTGCTAAAAACCTTACTAGACTTCAGTCTGTTTCCATGGAGCTCTTGCCCAGGTCCATGCAGGAGAAATTTCTCCAAGACAATATTTCAATGCTCTAAGGACCTCTTCTTCATAGGTGACATTGAATGTGTCTAAATCTGATAAATCTAGCTAATTTATAGATTTTTCTTTTAACTAGGCAGAACAGCTGTCTATTCTTGCTTGACCACAATCCTCTTGCCCCAGAGGACTGCTGAAAATTGGAGGGAAGAGGTCTAGATTAAAGATCAAACACATAACTCTTTAAATGTTTTTATTTTATGAAGTCCAAATTGAGACGGATGACAAAGGACATTATTTCTGACATCTAAGTTTATATTAGAGACAATCTTTTAAGAGTATATGTGTCAAATCACATTTTATTACAACGTCAATGAATCATTTAAAGAATAAGATTCACTAGGTACATGCCTTTAGTCCCAGGACTCAGGAGGCAGATCTCTGTGAGGTCGAGGCCAGCCTGATCTCTGGAGGAAGTTCCAGGACAGCCAGGGCTACACAGGGAAACTCTATCCTGAAAAACCAAATAAATAAATAAATAAATACCAACAGCAATAGTAATATTCATAAAATTGAGATTGTTCTTGGAAATACAATACATGTAGTCATTATGGGACCAGGGTGTGTGGAAGGGAAAAAAGCTTATCAGCTCACTCATTCCTTCCCTCCACAGAGCATGACAGTAGTCTCCTTGATGTTCCTCCAGTATGGAAAGCATGCACCCTCAAGGATTTGGGCTTAGCTGTCTGGAAGGGTCTTTGCCTGGGAACTCCTTCTTCATTAAAGACATAACTCTGCTCAATATTATCTGGTCATAGAAGCCTTTTCCAGTCCCTTTAACATATCGGCCCTCTCCAAACCATTGCCTTTCTCTACTTTAGCTTTCTTTATATCATTTATTACCACTTGACCTTGTATATATTTGTTGATTGTAAATATCCCTTCTAGAAATTATCTCAGAAGACTGGGGCTTTGATTTGCTCATTATTGTACCCATAGCATCTAGGACTATGTTTCCTGGAAATTCAGAAAAAATTAATACTTACATGAAATGAGATCTTGGTAACCTTTGAAAGAGGAGTGCACTGGCTGGTTTTGTGTGTCAACTTGATACAAGCTAGAGTCATCGGAGAGAAAGGGGCCTCAGCTCAGGAAATGCCTTCATGAAATCCAGCTGTAAGCCATTTCTCATTTAGTGATCAAGGGGGGAGTGCCCAGCCCATGGTGGGTGGTGTCATCCCTAGGCAGGTGGTGCTGGGTTCTATAAGAAAGCAGGCTGAGCAAGCCATGGGGAGCAAGTCAGTAATTAGCATTCCTCCATGGCCTCTGCATCAGCTCCTGCCTCTGAGATCCAGCCCTGCTTGAGTCCCTGTCCTGACTTCCTTCAGTGATGAACAGCAATGCTGAAGTGTAAGCCAAATAAACCCTTTCCTCCCCAAATTGCTTTTTGGCCATGGTGTTTCATTGAAGCAATAAAAACCCTAACTAAGACAAGTAGCCATGAGAGAGTAGCTGTTATGGTTTCAATAGGTTTTCCTCACAGGCTTATGTGATTAATCATTTGGTTTCCAGAGGGTGGCACTATTGAGATATTATAGAGCTTTTGGACACGGGACTTAGCTTGCAGGCTTAAGGAGGCAAGAGTTGAGAGGTATAGGTTTAAGAGTTGACCCTGCTTCTATCCTGAACTCAATACTTCCTGACTGTGTAATGTGTACATAGTGTTCTGGAGGTCCTCCCTCCCTAAGCAGGCTAATCCCAGCTTCCATGCCTCCTCCACTATAATGTACTGTATCCCCATAAATTGTTATACAAATAAATCCTTCCTGCCTTGAGTTGTTTCTGCCAATCAAGTATCATGTCACAGCAATGAGAAAAGGAACTCATACAGAATATGGGTACCAGAGGTAGAGTCATTATGATGATAGACCTAGCTGTGCAGTTTGTAGGACTTTGGAAGTGATGGGAAAGAGTAATGTGAAAAGGTTTGGAGCTGTGGGCCAGTGGAACCTTAGAGCGCTGTAAATATAGCTTTGTGGGATTGTTCTGGCAGAAGTGTAGAAGACCAGATGCTCATATATGTGAGACAGGGAATATTTGCTTATGAGTTTCAGACCGCAACAGGACTTTATCAGGAATTGGACTAGAGGACATTTATGTTACATTCAGGCAAAGCATCTATGTTCTTCCTGTGTCCTGAAAGTTGAAATGAGGCTGAATTAAAAAGTAACATGCCGATTTGTTTGGTGAAGAAAATTTCTAGTCAGCACAGCATTCAGACTATGGCAGTTACTATCCCATGCTTTTCTATAGCAGAAAGTAGAGAAGAAATATTTAAAAAGTGTGTGCTTTGACAAGGAAAGGAACATGAGTACAGTTGTGGTCAAAGCAACTATGGAAAAGCTAGGATAATTAATAAAGGTATTAGTACAATTAAATAAAAGTCTCGCATTCTGCATAAGGTCAATAGAAATGGTAAGATTTCTTGAAGGCAAGATCTCACTCATCAAAGGTTCTACCCACCCCATTCCAAAGGGACCACTTAGGGAAAAGTTTTCTCAGGTTCAGCTATGCAGGGACTTAGATGTCACCAGAGCTATGTTGAAAGGGAGACACCTCAAGCCAGTAGTTGGAATTAGCAATAGCATCCATATGGTGCTGGCCTTGCAAACACACACAACAGTTACCAGGTTAAAGAGGCTTGCACCAAGGTCCTAGAAAGCTACTGATGCTAGGCATTGCATAGAAGGGGAAGATTCCTGCATGGAGCTCCTGAGTGGACTCTGCATAGACAAGTGAGGGTGAAACCTAAGATGCAATGAAGATCCCAGCATGCTGAAGGACTGTGGGACATCCACTCTAGAAAGCCGTAAGCACCATGGGCACGAGTGAGACCAATCATATCGCTGGTAGAAGAGCTGTACAGGTTGTACTTCCCACTGGAACACAAATGACGTTGTTACAACCCCTAGACATGGAACTGAAAACTAACAACTATCTACTTCTGTCCCTCCTTCCCACAATGCTAGAAATTCCAACGCTGGTTACCAGGAATCACAAACATATTTATCTTATTAAGGTGTTGGGTTGCTTGAACTGCACAACAGATGAACTTCGTTGACCTGGCTAAAACTGCTAGCTAGCCTTGCTTCAGTCCTATTTTTCCTGGCTATCCTTTTGTTCCTCCCCTTCAGAATGGCCGTATTTACTCTATGCTAGCATATTTTGAAAATACATTTGTTTTTTGTTTTCTAGAGGTTCACAGTTAAAAGATTTCCTGATCAGCCAGGCAGTGGTGGTGCACGTCTCCGTGAGTTAGAGACCAGTCTGGTCTACAAGAGCCAGTTCCAGGACAAGCCCCAAAGCTACACAGGGAAACCCCACCTTGGGGGGTGGGGGGAGAGAGAAAAGAAAAGAAAAAAGATTGCCTGATCCTTGGGAAAATCCTTTTGGACTTAGGATTTTTCTTAAAGGATGTATTTATTTGTGTTTTATAGGTGAATGTTTGTCTTCATGCATGTGTATGTATCACATGGGTGCTGTGCACATGGAGGCCAGAAAGGGGCACTGAATCTCCTGGATTTACAATTACGGTTTTGAACTGTTTTGTGATACTGGGCACCAAGCTCAGGTCCTTGGCAAGAGCAGCAATTGCTCTTAACCACTGAGCAATCTCTTCAGCTTCAAGATTTGGACTTTTGATCGGTATCGGAACTCTTAGGACTTTGGGGACTTTTACAGTATTAAAGTGCATCTTGCGTTATGAAATGGCCATGAGCCTCTGGGGCCAGGGTGGAATGATGTGTTTGAATGTAAAATGTACCCCCAAACTTGTTTACTTAAGCAGTAGGTGCCCATTTGATGGCATCTTTCTAGAAGATTACAGCATTTGGACATTGCCTAGATAACACACGTAGGGCATTACAATTAGGGCTTAAATGTCCAGGATGCTTCTAGCCTGAGCCCTTTGCTTTCTGACTTTGAGAGATGTAAGGGAACTATACCACAAGATCTGGCAAACCCAGACCAGAGTGAACCCAGCCACCTTGCCTTCCCACCATTATGGACTGTACCCCTTTATACTGTGAGCCAACATAAGTCCTTCTTCCTTATGTTTCTATCACATATTTTCCCAAAGAGACAAGAAAAGTAATTAAGTGGCTAAGAAGTTGGACTGTCACATTTGTTATTTTTAGGCTCACCATAAGACCCTGCCACTTGACAGTTTGCCTGGTTCCAGCTAAATGTAGAACCCTCAACATCACTGTATGCTTTGAGGAGAGTCCACAGGCTCTTTTAACTAAAAATACAACCATCTACTTCTCTCTTCACTCCCATAACACCCGGAAACCTGAAGAGTAGTCATCAGAAATCATTTTTACCTTACTAAGGCATTGGGTTACTTGAACATGGCAACAATAAAATAGTCTTTGTTGACATGATTATCTGACCAGAACCTATTATCACCTGAGGAAAATGTGGAATGTGGGCCTTCGGACTGGAAAATCAGAGACTGAAACACGTTTGACACAAGGGGGCAGGAGAGAGCACTGGTAATCCAGGGTCTAGAAGGTTTCACCCTCTTGTACTGGGAAAGCACCTCTCTCTTAAGCAGAGTTGGGTAGTATAGGTAGAGAAGCTCCCTCTATGAGAGATCAGATTTTGAATCCTGGTTCTTTCATCATGACTTCTGAGGTTGTTCTTACTTAATTTAGACTGGGACAACCTCAGAATTTTGAACAATGTAGTTACTTAATATCTCTGCACTTTTCATCTGTGGAATGGGAACTATGGGATCTAATTTAAAGGGTTATCGGGAGGGCTGGATACTTGGCTAGCTTGTGCAAAGTCCTGGGTTCAATCCCCAGTGCCCATAAAACCAGATTTGGTGATGCATGTCTGCGACCCCAACACTTAAGAAACTGAGGTAGGAGAAGTTCGAGGTCATTCTTGCCTACATAGAGAGCTTGAGGCCAGCCTGGGGTACATGAGAACATGTGTTTTTTTTTGTTTGTTTAATTATTGTGAGGAATGAATGAAACCAATTTTTCTCTTGAGCATGATACCAAACACATGACACTTGCTCAATAAATGCAATTCTAATAGTTATGATGGAGGTACCTGCTGTCCTTTAGGAGTCATTGAAGGTTCAGCTGACTTGTCTTCATCTCCTTGGAGATTTCTGGTTTTGTTTATTTGGTTTTTCTTTTGTTTTTGTTTTTTGAGACAGAGTTTCTCTGGGTAGCCCTGGCTGTCCTGGAACTCACTCTGTAAACCAGAATGGCCTCGAACTCAAGAGATCCACCTTGCTCTGCCTCCTAAGTGCTGGTATTAAAGGCATGTGCCACTATTGCCTGGCCCTTGGAGGATTTCTCAGTGGACCACTTCTGTGAGTGCAGGGTTCCTGTTCTGACTGGACTCCATTGGTGCTCCTCTTTCCACACTTGTGTTTGTTTATGTTACAAACTTGGTTTCCCAGTTACACTGTTAATTCCTGGAGAGAAGAATTGGTATCTGATTAATTTTTCTCTTTCTAACTTTGCCCTGTATCTTGTCCATGGTAGATAGTAAGTGCAAATCTTCTCCATGGATGAATGACTGAAAACACATGTTCAATTGTTTTGTAATCCAGTAGCTTTCCTTAGATGTTTCTCAATGTGCCACTGTACCAAGCTAAAGGGACAAAGCTCACGACAGTGAAGCAGCCAGCACTGGTATGAGAGCTGCCTGTTGGTTTGTATTGGTTCTTCTGCAATGCCTAGCAGAAGTAAATAAACAGCAAATGCCCCTTGAGAAGCAGCTTGACTGGCCCATCTGGACAAAGGGCCAAATTTAGACCATAAATTTGAGCTCAAGTGACTAAAGCTGATGATTCATGGAAAGGGAAGAACCAAACCAGATTTCATAATTATTGGAGCAAGCAAGGGACCAGAGCAAATGACCCTTTGACACGCAGTAAGTACCCCATCAATGTCTGTTAGTATGTGGGTCTGCAAAACAGGAACTTTGCTGAACCCAAATATACAGGCCTGAGTGGGGTGTCTTCCAGAAGAAAGAGTGCTTCCAGCCATGCTCCAGTTGCATCATCTGAGAAGCTCGCTGTCTCTGCTTTCACCCATGCTTCCATAGCTTGTGTGTGTTTCAGGGCTTCACACTTATCAGAAAATGATGGGCTGCAAGTTGCTGGAAGACAGTAGCACCACAGGGTTTCTCCAATATGCATCTGATGGACAAGATTTCATCATCTCCAATACAGACGCCCTCTCCTGGGTAGCTGTAGATAAATAATGTGGCTCACATCAGTAAGCAGGCATGGGAGGTCAATCTGCAGGAGTTGCAATACCAAAAGAACTGGCTGGAAGAGGAATGCATTGCCTGGCTAAAGAGGTTTTTGGAGTATGGAAAAGACACCCTAGAAAGAACAGGTAAAGAGAAGAGAGAACTTTGTTCTCACATCCCTAGAAAAACCAACTTTGTGTCTTACTTCCTCTTTGGCAGGTGATATTCACCCTGTGCTGAAATCCAGCTCTTGGTTGGACTGTTCTGACCTGTAAACCCCCAAGAGAACTCTCATTAGTTATATTTTTAGCAGCATCTTGACAAGCCTTAGCAGTTCCACTTGTCTTGACAGAATGTAGTGCATCCAAGGGCACCTCTATCAAGAAAAGTCCTCCGTCTCCTGTCAGAGAGAGGGTGGGAAAAGCTTTTGAGAGTGGGACAGTTGTTGCAAATTATTTAAGAAGCAAGGTGTGATCGAAAAGCTGGACTGTGAAGAGGAGCTTAGAAAGACTGGCTTTTCCCTACTTGAGGATTAACAGGACAATTCTTCTGGGTACACAGCTCATCTTCTGCCATAAAAACATGGTCCTACTGGTCACCTTCAGCAGAATGCAGAATGTTTCGTGTTTGATGGGATGATTCAAATGTTTCAGGAAATCCCTGAACATTGTAGACCTTTTCCCATGAGAGTAATGTCCAGCCGGAGGGACTTTCCAGAGCTGGGGCCAACCCGGGGTGGAGAGGAGGAGTCTGGACCATGGTTGTAAACATGTGTCGTCCGTCTAAATGTACAGGCTTTGCAGGCAGATGATTAGAGCCTCTTGTTTGCTTTCCTCCCTACTTGCTATCATAGGCTCAATGGTTGCAGTTAACAAATCCATGTATTTTCTTTCTTTTTTTAAAGGTTTATTTATTTATTATGTATACAGTATTCTGTCATGTAGCACAACAGAAGAGGGCACCAAATCTTATTATAGATGATTGTGAGCCATTATGTGGTTGCTGGGAATTGAACTCAGAACCTCTGGAAGAGCAACCAGTACTCTTTTTTTAAAAATTTTTTTTCTAATAACATTTTTTATTAATTTATTTTTTACATTCCAATCCCAGTTCCCCCTCCCTCTTCTCTTCCCATTCACCCCACTCCCCCTCTCCTCCCATCTGCTCCAAGGAGAGGGTAAGGCCTCCCCTAGGAAGTCTACTAAGTCTGTCCCATCATCTAATTGAGGCAGGATCAAAGCACCTGTCCACACCCCACACACCTGTGTCTAGGATAGGCAAGGTATCTCTCCATATAGAATGGGCTCCACTAAGACAACCATTACTCTTAACCTGTGAGCCATCTCTCCACTCCTTAATAACTGATTTTGGTTTTTTAGAGACAGGCTTTCTCTGTGTAGTCCTGGCTGCCCTGGAAATCACTCTGTAGATCAGGCTGGCCTTGAACTCACAGAGATTCGCCTGCCTCTGCTGGGATTAATGGTGTGTGCCACCACTGACCAAACAAGCCCATTTCTAACATGCTTGGGAAGATCCTATTTGAAAGCAAGAATCAGAGCAGCATGGGGACCTAAGAAACCAAAACCAATATTTGAATGCTTTTCTCCATGGGGGTGGGGGAGAAGGGTTGAAACTATCAGCACAAATGTCACATCTTCATGGCTTCTCCATTCCAAAAGTCAGGCTACTGTCTCTGAGTACTTGTTGCCTAAATAGATAAATCACAAAAGAACTGTTGACTGGTCTGAGTCAGATTGTACCTGGCCTCTTTAGCTAACCACTGTGACCATCAGAACAAGCTTCAAAGGTTTTCACTGGGCAACAAAGTTCTGGCAAGAAAGAATGGCGCAGCCAACATGGTCTAACTGAGGAGATTCAACCAGGGATCCTTTACAAGAGGCCTCGTGGGGATCCCAGGAAGGGTGGTGAGGAGTCTTAAGAGGTGCAATATGGGAACACCATTGCAGCAACATGATCTGAAGGGCAGGAAGAGGAGACATCACTAGCAGAGCCCAGCAGGAGTTTGTGTGTGGAAAGGGGATCTTTACTATGAGAGGTGTGACTGTGGAGGAATGTGACCCAGGGCAGGGCTGCAGTGTGGTAAGATTGGTACTTCATCAGCTCGATGTCCTTTGGCTGAGGCAGTCTAGCTGCAAACCAGGGGCAGAGCAGTTCTAGAGATACAGTGTAAAGGCCTAGGCAGACCACAGAGGGTCAGAGGCTAGAACCAGGGGCCCATAAAGAGACACTAGCTGTTATGCACTGTTTGAGTGATGACTGAAGATGAGGAATTAAGATGACTACTTCATAGGAGTTCATGTTAATGAGGGTTAGAGTTATGTCTCAAAAGGTACTGGTATTTAGCACGTGTCTCTCCTGTCAGCAAAAAATGAAGCTTCTAGAAGGTAATCCAGCAAAGCCACAGTCTTGAGTAAAATATGGTAATAGTGCCTACTTTATAGAAATTAGTGAAAATAATATAGATGAAAATGCTTGGTATAAGCTTTTGGGCTCTGCTCACATATTAAATATTACTGATGCCTGACTAAAAATGTTTGATAGCCTAGATATGGTTCAAATCTATGGCCAGTCTGGGCCACCCTTAACCACTAAGATATTTTAGTCTGGATCTTATCAGATAGAAAAAGGGGAAATATGAGTTTACTTTCTGATTAGGGTATGTCTGTCACATAGCTGTGTTGGTTATTTTTTTCATCATTATAACAGAATGAGTGAAACAAATAACTTAAAAGTGGGAAAGATTACTCACAATTTCAGAGGTTTGGGTCCATCCTGGTGGGAAGGATGTGATGAAGCTGTTTACATCACAGTGGATAGAAAGCAGAGGGAGGGAGAAGGGCAAAGGCAAGATACAGCCTCCAGGGATTCCTCACAGGGTCCTACTTTGTTTAGCTAGGCCCTGCCTCCTAGAGTTTCCAGAACCTCCCAAAATAACACCAATATCTAGAAAGCATGGATTTGGCACATGAGGCCTGTGGGGGACATTTTATATTCAAAGCACACCAGTAGCATTTACCCCAAGTCACCTGGCCTGCTGCTTGTTCTTAATACAGTGCTGGGCAAAGGGTAGAAAGACACAATCAGAGTCGCTAAGAATTGAGGTTTAGAAGTCACTAGTCAACAATTCTGTTGATTCGACCTGGCTCAAAAGCTCTTTGGATCAACTAGGAGGAACCTGGGTTGTGTGGGAAGAATGTGGAAAGTTTGACGTAAGTGTATGTGGTTCCCATTTCCTATCTTGAGTGTTAAAGTAGTGTCTCAGGCTTTGGTCAAAACCCATGTCTTAGGAGGTAGAGTCTTTTCTTGCAAGCACAGTACAAAATAAATAAATAAAATTTAAAAATTCTCTTGGCAGTGTTTTATTTTAAATGTTGGAAAGTCTTTTCCTACATGCCTCAGGGAAAAGACAAGGGAGGTATGTCTGAGATGAAGGCTCAGATGAAGGCTTCCCTGTGTCCACAATGTCAGAAAATAAGGTGGAGATGAGGAGGTAAGTCTCACAGATGAGTAGGAAGGCCCTCCAGATAGTGTGGTTGGTTTTGACATGGCTCCATGACCAGTTTGAGATGGAAATGTTAAGACAACACCATATAGAAAATGAATGTATTCAGTCATGAGGAAGCAAGCTCACCAATGGGTAACCCTGAGGTGATCGTGGTGGTGCATACCTGTCATTCCAACATTCAGAAGGCTGGGGAAGGAAGACTGCAAGCTCAAGGCCATCTTTGGACATAGAGATGATGTCCCCTCCCTTTCTCCCTCTCTCATCATTGTTAGAGCCCTTCTGTAATATTCATTTCTGTAGCTTCTTTGAGGGCACATGAACTATGACACGTGTTTGTATCTGATTACAACTACCAGAGTACCAATCTGATAGCATGGTGCAATTCAGAGCCCCCACTGACCTGAGTTAGCTATGTTTTTTTATTGTCACTTAAAGAAGAATTCATATCTATTGCCTTCTAATCTCCAATCTCTTGGTGAATTACTTACCAAGACAATCATTTACACATGTTGTGACTTACTTTTCCTTGACACATAAGGATATTTCAAAGGTGAACAGTTAACAACTCCAATACACTCTTCAAATACTTCATGCTATATGTCTTTTCTCCCCTTAGAGGACAAAATGTGGTTCAGCTCCATGGGTTCCCTTGCGTCTTCCCTAGCAGGAAGTCTACAAAATCCAAATTTACCGTTGAATCTGGATTCTGGTTCACTCTCAGTTTTAGATATTTCTTGCAACAAAGAAAATTAACTCCCACGCTTAGTTCTGTGTTTGAACACTGTATATTCAGTACCCAAGACTCCCCCTGCCCCCATTTATCCGTGCCTACTTCTGTCTAGACCTTCCAATGGTAAGAGCAAGTAGAAAAGAAACTTTTCCAGGGACTACAACTCTCTTCTGTAGAGCTCATGGCTTCTACCCACCAGAAATTTCCATGACGTAGATGAAAAATGGGGAAGAAATTGCCCAAGAAGTGGATTATGGAGGCGTGCTTCCCAGTGGGGATGGAACCTATCAAATGTGGGTGTCGGTTGATCCGGATCCTCAGAGCAAAGACGTTTATCTTGTCCTGTGGAGCACTCTGGCCCCTCGGGGTAAGTGTGTGGGTGAAGGTTGTCTGGGAAGTGAGACTGAGGGAAGAGATAATAGGAAGCTGTGACTCCTGCAAGGAACTGAGGCTAGGTCACTGCCTCACCAGGTAGTGGAACAACAGCAATAGCTTTTTTGTTTTTTTAAGATAAAAAAATGTATTCTTAACTGAGCTGAGCCATTTCTCAAAATCAAACATGGTTCTTTTCAATCGGTGTTTCTCCGTGTTTAGTTTCCATGCTCTTCCATACTCTTATGAATTACTGAGGACCACAAGCAGCTATCATTTGTATAGGTCATACTTGTTGCTGTTTACTATATTACAAATTGTATTTTTAAAAATAGCCGGGCAGGGCTGGGTGATGGTAGTGCACACCTTTAATTTCAGCACTTGGGAGGCAGAGGTAGGTTGATCTCTGTGAGTTCTCGGCCAACCTGGTCTACAAATCGAGTTCCAGGACAGCCTCCAAAGCTACAGAGAAATACTGTCTCAACCCCCCCCCCCAAGAAAGCTGGGCAGTGGTGGCACACACCTTTAATCCCAGCACTCAGGAGGCAGAGGCAGGTGGATCTCTGAGTTGAGGCCAGCCTTTTCTACAGAGCAAGTTTCAGGACAGCCAGGGCTACACAGAGAAACCCTGTCTTGGGACTAAATAAGCAAATAAATAGGAGATAGTATAGGCACATATTCTACTTACTATCAGATAATGAGGGAGCTGAGATGATGGTGGCACTTTCTGATGATCACAGTGACACAGTTAATGCAGATGGGAGAAGCAACTTGAGGTTTTTTCCCTTTTCTTACAGAATCAGAAAGCATTCTTCTAACGGTGAAAGTGATCTCTGGGCCCATAATCCTCACCATTGTCTTGGCTGGAGCTGGTGTTCTGACTTGGAGAAGGTCTCGAGGTGAGAGGCATGAAGGACTCTAGGGGGCTACCTGTGGCCTCCTTACTGTATCTGCCATGTGAGTTCCATTTAGAAATGGATTGACTCTCATGTTGGGATCATTGGAGGACCTGGGAAAATTTTTGTCTTCTACAGAGAAAATGCCTGTTAATTTTCTCATTTTCACAGCCATTCTTCTATCCCAATTCTATGAAAGTCCTCTTTAAAAATACATTTCTCAGAATACGAAAAGTTTAACAGTAGGTGCCTTTGGAAAAAAAGGACTTGGGATAAGGAAAGGGGGAGGAGAAGCAGGAGATATGATGGCATAGACTATAAACCCATTCATTAACCGTGTACCAAATGTCTGTTGTGCTTTAATACCATACCGGCTCGTGGGAGACAGCCATGGAAAAGACAGGTATGACCCCACGACATAGAGCTGATGGCATAGTCTTGAAAGGTCATTTTCTATCTCTGGTTTACTAGTTACTCAAGGTGATCACAGCAAATATCAGTGAAACTGGATCAAGCTCAGAAGCTGGGCGGGCAGGAGCTTGCCTTTTCTTGACAGTCATGGGCTTGAGCCCAATCTGAGTGATACTGTTGGTGTGTGGTACTAGGTACTAATAGGACCAATCCATTTGCTAGAAAATCAACTCAGATAGCACATGGGTGAGTAATATTTCCATTATAAATAGAGTACAGTATGAATCCTAAACCAGTTAATACATGCATCTCAAGAAGAAAATTCCGGCTTTTTATCTTCTGGAGTTTGTAAATTTTGATTTAAAATTTGTCAAGTTCTAAGAGAATTTTGAGAAAGGCTAAAACTGTCAGTGGCTGCTTCCAGATTTTGCTGAATATTGCGTAATTTTTTTGAATGTGAGGAAAAACACATGTAACTGACTAAAAACTTCTTTTCCTTTCAGAGCAAGAAGAAGTCATCTACCATCCCACTAAGTCAGCGGGCACAGCTCTCCCTTTTCGGAGGGCACCCACATGCCCGTTGTCGGGAGTCTCAGCCATGCACCTGACACAATGGGGGCTTAGAGAATTGAGCATTTGTGACAAGAAGACAGGAGCTACAAATTTTTCTTTGTTCTTTGGCTCCCGAAAAGCTGTCAACTTTCAGGCTCTTGATGGACTTCTTTATCACAGTCGGCTTTAAATACAGTCTATCTCATGAGCCAATACTTCCCAACATCTTATTTCTCCATAGGATTACAAGTAGATTACAGAGTTTTAGAGCTGCAAGGAGCTTTCTCATCCTAGCAGAAGAAGTCTTCCTATCATGCCACAGACTTGAGCATCCAGCCTTCCTGTGACACCATGTGTGGAGACCCCATTCCACCACAAAACAGCCTTTCTAGTTCATCTTCTCTCCTGAGAGTATTTACCATATAAGAACTTTGACTATCATGTGAATCTCTAAGGAGGGTTGGAGCATCCTTGAGAACAGCCAGCTAGTTTCTACTGCAGCCTGTGAATGAACTAAATATGAAATACATATCATGGCCCAACAGGCAACAGAAGAACTACCTTGGAATATTGGAAGTGTGTCTGGTAGATCTATGGTAATGGCTTCACTTTTACTGCTTCTGGGAGAAATGAGAGCAATAATTTGCCAAGCTGAATGTGATGGGACTCCTAGAAGTCCAGTACTCAGGAAGCTGAGGCAGATAAGATTGGGGATAGCTTGCACTACACAATGAAACCCTATCTAAAACAAAAACAAAAACAAAAAACCCTTAACAGAACAAAACCAGTAATTACCAGACATATTATCACCTCCAGTGGAACTACAGAGACCTAGACTCACTTGCAACATTTGAATGTGAAAATAATATTTGGCGGGCTGGAGAGATGGCTCAGTGGTTAAGAGCACTGACTGCTCTTCCAGAGGTCCTGAATTCAATTCCCAGCAACCACATGGTGGCTCACAACCATCTGTAATGAGATCTGGTGCCCTCTTCTGGTGTGCAAGCATGCATGCAGATAACTATATACATAATAAATAAATAAAATCTTTAAAAAAATAATAATAATATTTGGCTGGGGATGGCTCAGTGGGTAAAGATGCCTGCTACCTAGCCTGACTACCTGAGGTAGATCATCAGGACTCATATTGTGACAGAGAGAACCAACTCCTGAAAGTTGTCCTCTGGCCTCCATATGAGTGCCCCAGCTCAACATACAATAAATAAATAAATGAATATAAAAAACTTATAAATACGATAGCATGCTCATGTGTCAAAAGTCATCCCTGTCCCCCATCCCTGCTCTGGTATTGGAGATTGAATTAGAACAGAAAAGACAAAAGTTAAAATTAAACTTTTGGGAGCTGAGGGTGTAGCTCAGTGGTAGAGAGCTTGCTTAGCATGTGTGAGATCCTGGGGTCATTACACACACACACACACACCCTACCACCACTACCAACAACAACAAAATAACAACAACAAACAAACAAACAAGAACTAAAACTTTAGATCTTTCTTTTTCTGTGGTTTAAAACAATATTGTTTCTGAATACCAGTAGACTTGTCATTTAATTAATTCATGTTTACTGACTATAGCTGTTCAGTAAGCAAGGTCTATGAACAATGTGGCACCATAATCTAAGTGTGACAGAGAACTTCACTACCTCTTCAATTATGCTTTCGATTTGAGTCCTCTGTGCTGAATATTTTACATTAAGAACACTACATGAAGAACCTGTTTGACTGGTTTTGATTTAAACTCCACTACATTTATTTTAGCATGTACAGACCAAGGTTTTGTTCAGAAAATGGCAAACAGAACAGGTAAGAAGGGAACAAGTTGAAGAGCAGTGTGGGGGCTGGACACATTGCTCAGTTGCTAGACTGCTGGATTAGCATTCAGAAGCCCTAGGTTCAATTCCCAGGGCAACACAGAACTGGGCGTGACAACACATGTCTGTAATCCCAATACCTGGGAGATGGAGACAGGAGGATCAGGGGTTCAAAGTCATCCTCCACTACATAGGGAATTTGAGGCCAGATTGAGATACATGAGACCCTGTAAAAAACAAATATAAAATAAAAGCAGTGTGGTGACAGGTTTCTTGATGCCCTCCTTTACTTCTTGTTCCAACAATTTTCGTGTTCTGACCCCTCCCTTATTTCTGAGGAATTGCTGACTTTTTCCTCCTCTCCATGTTTTTGGATGGGGAGAAGGGTGTTTTTGCTTTGTGTCATAAGGTCCATTAGTTGGTCATTTTCTGGCAGGATCCCACAAGGAAGTCATATTTTGTCACCCGAGTCTGAGGTTTTGTCCTCATATGTGCAGGTCAAGTGTCCCCATGAGGGAATCAGATGGATGCATTAGGAGGGATGCCAAATGCCAATGCACTCAGTTGCTGTCAGGAGCAGAACTGCCAAATGGGTCAGGGACCAGTTTCAGCCTTCTAGTGGGAAGGTTCACATGAGAGCATCACAGAAAGGGGTCTACTGATCCCAGACCTGGGGGCTCAGGGACACATTCCTTTACCTCCTATATTTTCATAGCAATATATTAATTCACAGAATGTTCTCTTGGGAGAAGGGGTTTGTCTCGAGCCACAAACAGTGGCCAGCAAGGCCAGAAAGGAATCCGGATCTCCAAACCTGAGTCTTTCCCACTCACTTGACAACATCACTATCTTTAGATGATAAACTCCTCTGGCTCCTCCCGAGCACCTCTCCTTGGATGCGTGCCCTCATTTAACCTTTATCTCCACGTAAAATCTCTGCATCTCCCTTTCGCTTTGGGCTCCCTTTCCTCACAGTCCTTACAGTTTCCAAACCGACAGGCTATGTAACAAACCCCTAAACCTAGTTGCCTAAAACAGCAATCATTCCAGGATCTTTCAAGGCTTCTATAGGTGAGGGATTTGGGTAGAACTTGGGTAGGCAATGCTGGCTTGTAGCCTTTCACGGAACTGTAGACAATTGGTGGCTGGAAAGTAAAACAGTGAAGGACTAGGGAAGTTGTGAGTACAACGTAGGTTGCCTGTCTCCAAGCCAAGCTTACACACACACACACACAAACACCATGGCGGGGGGGGGGGGGGGGGGGGGGGTTGTGGTGATATTTTGTTTATGATCTAAGCTTGCCTGAAGATCAGAGTGCAAAGCTAGTCCCACTAGTTAGCCATAGAGGCCAGGCAGTGGTGGCACACACCTTTAATCCCAGCACTCAGGAGACAGAGGCAGACAGATCTCTGTTAGTTCAAGGACACCCTGAGTTACACAAGATTGATCCAGTCTAAAAGAGAAACAGAGCTCACACAGAGATGGTCTCAGCACTTGGGATCCCAAACTTTTAATCCCAGCACTAAGGAGGTGGAAACAGGAGTGATATGGCTGGGTGGAGAGAGGAATATAAAGTGGGCGGTGACAAGAGAGAGATGTAGTCTGAGAAGCAGTGTGGTCTAAGCCGTCTGAGGACAGGACCACCCCCATTGGTCTGAGCACTAGTGGAGCTAAGAACTCTCTAGTGGCTGGATATTTTGCTTCTCTGATCTTCATCATTAACCCCACTATCTAACTCTGAGTTTTTATTATTAATAACAATTAAAATTTGTCCTTCAGGGACTCTATGCTGGCTCTCTATGTGGGTTAGTTTGAGCTTCCTTGAAACATGGTGGCCTTGGTGCAATCAGTCTGAAGGTGGTGTAAACTCCCCTCACCTGCTATCACTTTTGCCATTCTTTTAGTTGGCCAAGAAAGTCACTAAAGCCCGCTCAGTTTCAAGGCAAAGAGACACAGAGCTTGACACTCAGTGGGAAAATTGTCAAAGTAACATTTTGAAGAGCATATAGGTTTCTGGTGCCTCCATCTTTGCCTCTTAGCATGGAGGTCAAGTTCTACTGGAGGGGAAATGGTGATGCCTGCCAGTAGGTTAAATGAGCTAAGACCCTAGGGTTCTTAGCTGCCCTGGGTATGAGGTTTCCGGAAAGAGTATAGGCTCCCTGAACCAAGGGAACATCTTGAGGCTTTCACTGTGGCCTCCTTTGTCCAGTTTCCCTCTTCTTCCCACAGCTGGCAGGGCTGAGGGAAAATGCATCACATATATGAGTAGCTTCTCATGTAGAAAGAGAAGCTGTCTGTATTCGCCCGGAAAGTTTGTTGTAGATCTTGTTGGATTAAAACACAAAACTTTGCCCAGTTTCTCAGTTTCTGTCTTGTGAGCCAGCAGAGCCATAGCTAACCCATAAAGAACAGTTGTGGTCAAGAACCTCTCCAAGTGTCTTAATTAGGGTTACTATTGGTATGATGAGACACCATGACTAAAAGCATCTTGGAGAGGGAAGGATTTGAGTTATGCTTCCGTATCATAGTTGATCACTGAAGGAATTCAGGGCAGGAAACTGGAGGCAGGAGCTGATGCAGGGGCCATGGAAGGGAGCTGCTTACTGGACTTGCTCCTCATGGCTTGCTCAACCTGATTTCTCTCCTTCCTTCCTTCCTTCCTTCCTTCCTTCCTTTCTTCCTTCCTTTCTTTCTCTGTGTAGTCCTAGCTGTCCTGGAACTCTCTCTGAAGACCAGGCTGGCCTCAAACGCACAGAGATCTGCCTATCTCTGCCTCCTCCATGCTGGGATTAAAGGTGTGCTCCACCACCACCTGGCTATTAACCTGCTTTCTTGTAGGACTCAGGACCACCCCCAACCATTGGCTGGGTCCTCCCCCCATCAATCATAATTAAGAAAACACCCTGCAGCTAGATCTCATGGAGACAATGTCTTTATTGATGTTCCCTCTCTTCAGGTGATTCCAGCTGTATCCAGTTGACAAAAAACTAGCCAGACTAGGTCCTGTGGCTTGACCTCTCAAACGCAGAGTGGGCTTTGACCTCATTTGCCCTTTGGGTGGGGGATCCCCGTGCAGGCTGCACTTTACCCAGCAACTCATCATTCCATTAGAAACCAAACAGGCCCAACATGGAAGTAATCGGATTCATTTGGAAGGGAGGAGTGCTGGTGGGAATAAAAGGTCAGTCCACCCAACAGAATAGAAGTGAATGCCCTCCTTATTTCATCCAGTCAAAATTATTCCAACCATTTTACATAATCACAGTGTTCATCTGTAACAATCTATTTTTAAAATCTTTGTATAACATTTCACGGTCGGCTTCCATGATGCCTTGTATGTAGTAGAAGCTCAGTAAATGCTTCCTGAGTGAGTCAGTACAGTATTTTAATTAGCTAGTCTTCATGTACTGGTGCAAAAGGACAGTGTCATCTTACAGCTGAAGTCAGAGAGGAGAAATAGCCTGAGCCACTCCAGTGCCTGCCGGTCAACAGGCCATGGCTTCATCTGAATTCTTGACGGATTTCAACAGCACTAACTTGTTTAAAAATGACATCCATTGACTTTTATATGAGTGGGGGTGGGGGCAGGGCACGTGCCCATGTGGAAGGCTAAAGCCAAATTGGTTTGGTTCTCTTTACCATCTAGATCAGTCTCAGGTTTAGCAAGTGCCTTTGCCTGGTGAATTGGCTTGCCAGTTCAACATTCTGTGTTTAATAAACTTCAATATGACACACATACCCCACCTCCAGATTATACAATATAGCCCAGGTGTGCTCCTCTTGCCTCAGCTTCTGGGCTGGTCTTGCAGACATCACTTCGGTCAGGATCTTACCTAGATTGTGCCCTGTCTGTGAGATTAGAGCCCAAAGATTCTACCAACTTCTACCCTCCCCCACTGTAAACATATTAAAGACAAGGACAGAACTCAGCGCTTACATGAGGCAGTCTTTTCTCCTCCCCCCTCCCCCCTTCTCCTTCTCTCTGTTTTTCTGAGACAGGGTTAGTCCAGGCTGCCTCAGCCTTGCCCTGTCTGTAGGTATGTATTACCGTGCCCAATAAGGAATAAGGTTTGCACTCTCATTTTCTCTGACACAGGGTTTCTCCTAGCCCAGGGGAGCCTCCTACTCCATCTGTAGCAGAGCTGAACTC